AGTAGTCGCTTACGAGAAAGTAAGTCTTCCACTTTGGACATGAGAGCAATGGCTGCAACAGGTGCCAGCCGCTAACCCTCTGACTTGCACAAAGCGATGTCCCAAATATGTTGCTACTTAAGCATTCAGATAATAGTGTCATTATTTGCCTGATGGTAAAACTCTATTTATGTGAAGAGCTCCAATGTTCCAATGGTAGCTCAAATACGTTTTGCAATGCAGCCTTGTTCTAGACGTTAGAATAGTAAATCGAGCGTTCTGTTGACACTATCATAAGTTTTACCTTATAGAGGTCCCCGCGATGGGTATTATATTCTATGACTCCTTGGTGCTTCTGTTGCTTTTCCAATGAATTCTGTTCCTGAGGAGGTATTAGGGAAATAGATCAATAAGTTTTTCTCTTGCAGGCCCTAAAGAAGGCGAAGGACGCCGAGACGTCAGCCAAAACACAAACTCAAGTTTATCATTTTAAATTCCGTAGAAAAACAAATTTTGAACATAAAATATTTGGATTTGCATGTGTGCGAGCAAAATGACTGCTAGCTCTACAAAAACAGCCGATTTCTGCAATATGGGGGCCAGGCATTTATAACATCTTAATTTTAGAAATTCTTCCTTTAAACATACGATGCAAGTTACTCACCTTGTGTACATTCACAACCAAACGTTTCAATCTTCCAAAAAATCTTGCAACAGATTATGTGCCCTGAACAATTAAATCTTCTTTCCACCTGATCATATCCTGAGCAAAATCACGCCAAGATTTATCATTCCACGTTTTCTATCTAGAAGAATAGCGCATGAAACTGAACGGCATCTTAATACAATACAACATCCTTGCAAAAGATTTGTTAGTAAATTCGAGATTCGGTAAGATAAAATTAGAGAAAACGTTCATAATGATTTTTGAAACTAGAACATTGAACCATTTTTTTACGATCAAAACTGCTCATCTTGATATACTTAGCTTTGAGCTGCCGTCTGCAAAGAAATTAAGACACAAGCCTCTTCTTGACTCAACAACTTCTTATTTGCTAAGATTACTAGTACGATTACGGTATCGTAAGAACAATGAATGCGACCTGCGTAAACACGGTTTAAGTGGATCAACTCGTTGTTTGATTAATTGGAACATGGGAAAAACTTGAGTGGCCCTGGGACTAGGAATTTTCGAGCCGGTATAAAAGCAGCGGAGCACAGTTTGAAGCACATTGCAGCCTGTTGTATCGCAAGAAGATGCAAACAGAATTCGTATTCGGACTTCTACTAGCTGCCATATGGCCTGCGGTAGGTAGAAAAAAACGCGTTTTTCAACTTGTTTACTTGCTTCAACCTAGCAAAGTTTTCATCAAGCTATCAAGAAAAATATAATTCCAGTCCTCTTTGGATCGAGAAAAGCGATGCGCATGTGCACCGCCAATTCCATCGCCCTGCTCCTGTGAAGTAGGTCCCACTCCATTCTGCTCCTGCAAACCGATTATTCCAACACCTTCCTGTGCATGCGGACTCCGCGCCCAAATGACCCACTGCAAGGCGTACTGTCAAGAAATCTGTCAGCCCGCATGCTTTAAAAGCTGGATTCCCTTGCCATGTCCATCATTTTGTGGAAGCCTCTGCTCACGTTCCTGCCTACCGAAACCAACGTTCGGACCTGTAGCCCCACTCACAACTTCGGTAATATTACCCTACCAATGTCCTACGGTATGCCAGCAGTCGTGCATGAAATTGTGCGCCGTGCAGCTGCTCCCCAACACCTGTATGTTCATGTGTCAGAAACCCTGTGTCCAAAAATGCGTCATGGCCTCTCCTGTTCCACACGAATTTGAGTTAATGGCTGAACCAGCCTTCCCAGCAGCAGTTCCACCACCACCGCCACCATTTGCTGACGCAATCCCACTTCCTTCAGCTGCTCCGGGATGTATGGGCACTGGATGCATGATGGACAACGTTATGCCATCAATGATTGATCCTTGAGATGTACATTTGAATTCTTATGAAGTTCAGGTCAGCCTCTGTTTTTAACATCTCTTTCTTTTCTCGGTTATGTTCCGTCGCAAGATCTGCAAAAACGCACTTAACTTGTAGAACACTGCTGCGATTTTCTCGAATATACGATAGGGATAAGAGAAGCGCGGCAATTATCTGCAGAAATCGTGATACTTTGGTACATGAATGTATCCACAACTAACAGTGATAGCTGAACAAATTTCCTCTTTAGCAATTCATGAAATTTCTAAAGCCAATAAGTTACATAATATGCTGGAGAGTTATAATGTATTTTTGTTGTTCTTTAATGATTGGAAAAGCTAAGGGTGATCGCCGTATTAAACCAATATGGAAATCTTTAGTATTGACAGGTTCTTGATCTTTCAACAGTTTCTATGATAAAACATGCAATGCATGCAGCACATTGCTATTTATAAGAAGCTCGGCACAATTGCTCCAAATGAAAGAAACCATAAATTCATTCTACACATACCTTTACCTGATGCCCATGACTGCTAGTGTCAAAGGGCAAGGATCCGTTTACAATTTTGATGCTTTCGTACAATCTTCACGGAGTCACTCTTATATAGTTTAACAAGTATTTCTTCTTCTTTTAGCTTCGTTTCTCTTCTGTTATATTCTTTCCCCATCTCGCTGCTTTATCAACAACTAGTGGAAGTATGCAGAAAGATGCTCCCTTTGTTTTGGCGACACTGTAAAGTGAGTTTTTAATGTGTTTTGAGTTCTATCGTCAATTAAGTCAATTACAGTTTTTGTTGGATCGAGCACAGAATTCGACTAGAGTTTCGAACTGCCTCTCGACTCATGCAATGCTTCTCGTTCTCCAGAAGATGGTCGGAAGTCGCGTAAAATAATTCTATAAAATAAATTGTTCGTGCTTAGACTGAGCTTCAAATTGTGACGTTAGTAAAAAAAAGTTAACATAACTACTGATAAGTTAGCAAAAATTCTTTTGTACCAATCCTCTACTCCCTCACCTGAAAGCAGATTTTCACTACAAAAATAGGAAGTTGTGATTGAAAGCGATCAATTAGAAAAAAATTCCCTCGCTCATCTTTTCTTTTCCGCCAGCAGGAGAAGCTAGGTGAACAAGTGGATGCTGAGTTGAGTAAAAGCTTAGTTACTTGACAAGCTCATTTCTTCGGTAAGCAAATCCTTTGCAAAACTCATTCGAACGCCATCTGTGGCCATTCACTGCAATCCTTAGTTCAGGGTTAGTGTTGGATCATTGAGCAAGGTCTTTATACGAGTCCGTTAAAATACTTAGCACGCATTCAAAGCGATTTCAATTATTTTTCGAAAGAATTTCACACGTTTTCGTGGGAGGAGCTTACATCAAAGGATTCTATGACCTCATTCTTCCAAACCCAGTGTTGCGCAAATGGTCAAGAGCGGCATTTGTAATAGACAAATGTGCAGGGATATGCAGCAGATGAGTGAGAATTAAGTTAAATCCGTGAACTTCTCTCCGTAGATCCCCGCTTTACTCATGATGATTTAACGTTGTGGTTCGAAGGCACAGACGTCAGCTTCTCGAAAGGTAGTTTGTTATACATTTTGAGCAGGACACGTTGGGAGGTCACATTTAAAGCGTAATATGAGCGCTTAGATAGATCTGCACTTTGTGCGTGTCCAACCGATAACCCATTCTTTGCGGTTTCCCTCTTGACTTCTCTTTCGAAACAATTATAGTACGTGGTTTTATATTCGAGATGCTGTTGGGTTACTGCAATACCTGGTTTTCTGGGCAAAACCACGATTTCGCCGCCTTTATCGCTGACTGCTATTTTGATAGCTGCAGGGCTATAAGTTTCCGATTTGTTTTTGAAAGTCCTACTTTGCGCAGATGCTATATTTGATGCAGTGTTTTATCTCCAAAACTTTTTTCTCAAAATTTAGGAGATGTAGCATCTGCTGTTTCTGTCACTAACAGCGGAAATTAACACAACGGTTACACCAAACCAAAATGTCACTGAGATGTTACTAGCGTCAGCTTCGAGAAGAAGTTAAAACACCTTTCTATCAAATATCCTAGAGCATCTGTTACACGAGATTCAGTCTTTATCTGAAATTACAAACCGTTTCATCAAAGAATGATCCATAACTTTTGGTGGAAAAACTTAATAGTAGAAATGAGCATACATCAACCTTAATAGCATGTAGCCCCTTTACACTTTCTAGATTAATAGGCGATTCACTGTGCAAATGTCCCATAACGAAGATTCTCAACTTGTTGGAACACCCGCCGCCCAGTTATCTCTGCTCTACAGAGGCTTTTGTGATATCTGCACTGCAATTTATTTCCCACATCCTCATGATTTCACTTGAATGAAGATTTACTGTAAGTCTTTGACGGTCGTTCGCTTTTATCTTCATGAGATAGCACCTAACGCGCCAGGAAAGCAATTCTTGCATCGCAAAATTGACCCCAAACCTCCACTGTGACAATCGCCACTGCCATCAATATAAAAGTCTTCAGAGACATTTGTTATCTGCTGTACAGTTGGTCAGTGCAACTACCTAGATTGATATATTAGAGTTATTTCTGTGCCAGTGAAATGCAGCAAGAATGCTCCAA